CACAGAGAGAACTGCTCCTGTCTGTGCTCCTGCACTCTGAAGATGCCGGTCACAGGGCCCGGAAGACCCATACCAGCCATTGTATGCCGGCCGTGAAAGCCTTCGACAATACAGATGACAAACAAGTTTAAATAAACATTTGTTTATTTAATGGTTGCCTTGAATAATGATGTACATCTTAACCTCACTGGAAAAAAACAAAAAAAAACTTCCATTCTGCAGAGTTTATAGAAATGGAGAAAGCCATCATCCTAGTTCTCATGCCTTTTGTAGTTTTTGCCTTTAATCTTTGGTGTGATAGATCTTTTGGGCTTTAATAAATGAGTTTCCAATGGCCTATCACAAATTCTTTCCTCATTCTCCATTCATATAATGTGCCATTTAGGCAGATGAATCTCAACAGAAGGAGCTAAACTTGAAGCATCCATAAGTGCCAACACTGTCAATAAAGCCACAGGGTTTCCTGAAAAATGGATGCTGTTCACAATCCAATTCTCCAAAGCAAAATGGATAATCGCATTTTCAATAGGCACTAGTCCCAACTCAGCAGATGGGCAAAACACCAACAGCTTAAAGAGAATTCAAGACTATGAGCCCCAAAAGCTATAGCCTGATAGCCTGAATTGTCCCACAGATTATATTCACCCAACATGCTAAACCCTAAACCTGGATTAAGGAAATGCCAATCCTGCCTTTACATAACATTACTGTGTCCAAATAAATCATACTATAGCTTAAAGACCGAGCCATCACATCCAAGCTGCAAGAATCCAAACAACAACAAGAACTCCAACTTTTTGCTGGATGTGGCCTGGATATCTCTAAGTAGTCTTACCAAATTAGGGCATTGTTCAAAGAACATGCTAAGAGCTGAATTTCCCATTATATCGTGATTCCTATTTTAGTTTAATCTGGTATATTCTGTGAGCCCTGCCCTTCAGTGGTAATCAGTGAAAATGAGAAGTGACTTATTTTGGAGATTTCAGAGTTTTGGACTACAACTCCCACAGTCCCTTGCCATTGGACATGATCCGAAGCCTCAAGCTCCTGAAGGATACTGAATTGGCTAGCTCTGGTAGCACTGGGGGAAGCAGAGATATCTTCAGCTGTTCCTCATCTTCCAGTCATCTTTGAAATGGGATTCTGTTCCTATTTTAATATTGAGATAGAATTTATCTGTGTCAGTTCCAGGGCTGTTGGACCCAAGAAATACAGCTCTTGTTCCTATTGTGTCTTCTTTCTGAGATCAGAAAGGCTTAGAGGGCACAGAAGGAGCTTTTGATATCAGGTTTCATTTCCGAAATTGAAGTTCTCTCTGTGACCTCAATAGGGGAGTCCTGATGCATCCCAGGGAGAATTACAATCTTAATAAAAGTTGTGCTAAGATGGGAATTACTTCTTTCCAATGGAAGAGAATATATGTAGCTCAGGGTTGAACCGTTCTTGGTGCTCTCCGAGCTACTATACATAAACAGGCAGCAAAACCCACACTCACTGATGCTGATGATGCTACCTAGTTGGGTAATGAAATGTCTGCAAACAAACAAGCAAGATCAGAGAGCACCAAGAACTCCACAATTGCTTCTTTGCTTGCATGGCCCTTGTCACATGAAATGTGTCGGATCAAATTTAGCAATTCAGTTTTAGGGACAATATGGAACAGTAAATGAGTTAGCTGGTGGGCTTATGGTAATTATAATTCAATTCCATATCAGGATAGTGCCAGGCCAGAGAAAGTTGCTTTCTAGCCATCTCTGTCTACCCAATCAAGAATTAAAATTTAAATTAAGAAAGAGGAAAAGTGCGCTTTACTTGATGAGAGTACAAATATATGAAACCAAATTAAGGACCCATATAATTAATGCAGGGTCTGCAGCAGTCTAGAAAGCAATGGGGCCAAATTTTCCTATGGAAATTCCCAAACATGACATGTTTGCCATATGTGCGTCTTGATTTAAAGACAGCTGTGATTTATTTCAAGCTTATAAACCATTGTTTCTGTCCTACATTTTTAGTGTTTTGAACTGGTGACTACAAGTCAATTTTTTATTATTTTATTTAACTTCAAAAACATTACAATTAAAATTTCTTTTTAAAAATGTAGTAGTTTGTGGTATTATACATAAACTGAATACCAATATATATTACTTTCATATTAAAACTATATTGCTTTAAAAAGAAATCATATCCATTGCATTAAAAAACTCATATGCTGAAGAAAGAGACAGAAAAAAGCCTATACTAAACTATTTAGAAAAAAGAGAGACGAAACAAAGGAGAAAAAGCTCTAGGAAATAGGGAAAAATGAAAAATATCACTAGCAATTAATCTAGAAACTTTAAAAAAAGAGCGAAACATGGAAATTATATCCCTTTCTTTCTCTCTCTCAATAGCAGATGTCAGGCTATTACATTATATAACTTCCTTCGATTTTTGTCAATGTTGTGATTCCATTTTTAAACAATGAATTGAATCTAGACCGTACAGAATCACACTGTCTCGTCTTTCCTCTCTGAGAATTAAGTGTTAACAAATTTCATTATAGTAATTTTTAGAATCCAGGATACGCACATTTTTTCAAGGGCTGCAAGTCACAGGCCCAGACTGGCCAGGTTCACACAGCATGTTACATTAGGATTATTTTGGGGGGGGGGTGCCTTTGAGTCATTCTTGACTCCTGGCAACTGCTTGGACAAGTCCCTGATATTTTCTTAGCCACATTTTTGGAAGTGGCTTGCCACTGTCTTCTTCCTAGGGCTAAGAGGGAATGGCTGGAACCATTGGAGTATTCTTTGAGCATGGTATGCTATGAAATATAACAGATTTTTAAAGCCAGCTTTAGGCTTGATCATGTTGTAAGAATACAACCAAGGAGAGGTGGAAGAGGCATACAGCACTAAGAAAAGGATAAGAATTGCTGGGGAAATAAAGCAAAAAAAAATGAGATTAGAAAAAATATTATTATTATCCCTCAAATCCAATTTAGAATATCATTGGCTTGGAAAGTATGGCTAAGAATATATCTGTATAATGAATTGGATGAAGAAGGGTATGGACACGTGAAATGATGCATGCCTTTTCTTTATATAATAAAGCCTTACTGCCACACATATTTCGAACTTGACATGTTTTACTTCTGTGCAAATGCTATTTTCTGAGAAAAACCTGGATTCAGGTTGGTGGTCAGATAACATCCCATTTCAACCAGTACAGCATCTGGTCCTTCAGATACTCCTGGGTTCACAAACACAGTGATGGAACTATTTATTTTCATCATACGCCTTCAGAGACTCAGGCTGCATTTAGCTGTAAAAAAC